GAGATCACTGGGTGCCGTGGCACCCCCACCTGTCCACATAGATCCGCCCCTGCTATTAACCATGCATTTAGATATAATACATTATAACAATCGTGATGGTTAAAAGTCTAAGTGGGAGATTGTTGGGATATATTCTATTAACCATATGTTTAGATATAGTAGTTATTATAGAATAATTATTTATTCATTTTTAATAGATCATATACTTGTTTATGGTGTCTCTTTACTTATATAGTAGATGATTTAGTGTATAGAATTTTAGCTTATACATAGCGGATTAAATCATCGACTCTTATAAGTATAATTTTTTTTGTTTACAATCTAATATGAGTATTGGACATGTCATCGGTATGATTGTAACATAAGATTATATGTAGTTTATCTTGATTATGGGAATGGTATAGTTCCAACTTCTTGTGCTAGTGCATTTTGTATGTAATGAACGAGACCGAGTAGAGATAGTTATTTTAGACTGACTGGGAATAACATAATCTCAAAACTATTAAATCTACTCATATTCTTAATCCTGATATAACTATTATGATATGTATATGTTAATTATCGTTTTGATTTATTAAAAGGTGAGATTCTAAGATGGATCAATATGACAGGTAATAGATTGGATGATGATGATATATATTGGTGAAATAATAAGTTAGTTGACGGAATCCATGTCTTGATATAGAGATTGATGATATGCCTTTTTGAGAAGATTATAAGTTTTCATCGTGTCAAACCTTGCAAGTGGATTTATGAATTCGACACATGAATTAAGTTAAGCATTGCTCTAAACGAAATTGATCATTGAATTAAATTCGTCAGTAATTTAATTTATTGATTAGTATATGTAATCTTAACATGGGGAATTACATATGTGTTTAATGGGGAATTTCGAAATATAAATAGAAGAGTGCAATTACGAATTTCTAGTAGAATGATTTGTAATTTACTATGGTGAGAATAATTAAAATTAATTATTTAGAATTATTTCTATAATAGGAAGCCTCAATAATTAATTATGTGGTCTATATCGTGCCCATATTTAACTAGAACTCATAATCTATTCTAAGTGGAAAAAAAGATGTGTCTTTCTCTATATATTCTAAGGAAAGGGAGAAGTGTGTGTCTTTCTCTATTCTAAAGAAAGGGAGAAGTATATGACTTTTTCTATGCTAAGGAAAGAGACAAATATGTGTCTTTTTCTATTCTAAGAAAAGGGAGAAGTATATGCCTTTTTCTGTTCTAAGGAAATATATGGTATTCCCTCTCATCCTTGGACTAGGAAGAAATCTCTATAAATAGGGATTCTTCTAACCCTTGAAAGAAGAAGTTTTTCTATACGATACTTGCCCATCCGAGTATTGAGAAAGTTTGCAAATGAACTTGGGATCACTGTAGAAGACCGTAGAACTGTCGTCCAGTTTGTAGACTGGCTTGTGGATTCACTTGAAGGTTATAACTTGTTGAATAGCTTGTGGATTCACTTGAAGGTATCTGATCACGCTTCAAGAGGTAATTCTTGAATTAAATTTCAGAAAGCTTATGTGCTCTAGCATAATTGTATGTGTTCTAGAATAAACTATATATGTGTTGTCTATTATTCATATAAGCAGTATGGTTCTGGTATGCTTCCGTTATACATATAGTTTTCCAACATAAAGATCTTTTAATGAAATTGGCAAGACTTAGCAGTGCCTTATTGATCTAATTCCTGCTTCCCTTTGGTATCGGTAAAGGGGTTGGTAAGCGCTTCCCGAATAGACTCATTTCTCTTCCCCGGACACCGAACAAAGGGTGGGCCATTCAATCAAATCTTTGAGAAGGGGTCTAGTCTCGTATTTGATGGTCGGCGTGGCGATAGGCTTCATTTCTACGACTGCCTTCCCAGCTCTATCGACAGAGGCCCCGCCTAAAGTTCTGACCCTTGCTTTAAGCTCTGCTCTGGGGAAATGACCCCACCCGTGATTTTTTCTTGTCTTTCTTGTTGTTATTAAAACAAGAAATAACATGTGAAAAATAATGGACTTTCCAACTTACACACTTTGGACCACTTATAGATATAACTGTCAAAACAGGTCAGCCCAGCCCTACCCCGCCCAAGCCTTGCGGGCCAAAAAATTTGATGTGCTGGGGCGGGCTGGTCCTTCATTTCAAAGGGCTGTAAAATGGTCAACCCGGACCAACCCCAGAAGGGTTAAGGGCTAGGGCGGGCCGACCCTTTTTTTTTAAAGGTCAAATCAATGTCACAAATAGTAACATTGTTTCAATAATTCTAAATAAAATCTAGCAATAAATATTTAAAGAAAAAAATAATAATCTCTTAAGTAAATAATATCTGAAAAAACAAACTAGTAAACTAAAGAACACTTCTGACTAAAACTTTAGTTAGCAATACATAATTACTTAAAGTATTTTGTTAAATGAAATCAAGAAACCAATTAATTGTTCAAGCCATAAAACATATAATATAAATAGTGTTTACTATCCAAGTCTTATATTCAAAACTAAATAATAAAGAAATTCATGAGGCAAGTACCATAGAAAAACTCCACAAACACTTATTTAGATTTTCTAGTTTTTTATTCTTATTTTTTTAATATTTATTTTAATTAAAATCAAATAATTTGGCCCATGGGCCGACCCCGGCCCGACGCCGATCAAGCCTCAAGGGCTAAGGGCCTAAAAGGGTTGGGCTTATAAGCCCCAATTTTAAACGGGCTTGTAAAATATTATCCCAACCCTATCCCAATAACGGGTTGGGTCGGGCCAGCCCCATGTGATAAACCCTTTTTGACGGCTCTACTTATAGATGAAGGTAAAATCCGTCCATCGCAGGGTGGACAGTGCTTGTAGATAACGCAAGTCCCCCACATTGGTAAATCGCGATTATACAAACATATGTGGTGTCGCGTTCACATCCTGAATGCCCCGTGACAAAATTGGCAAAATTCCATAGCGAGATGCAAGTTGTTGTGTGCTTGTTGGAGGAGTTTTACATTGGTAAATCGCGATTTATACAAATATATTTGGTGTCGCGTTCACATTTTTAATGCCCCGTGACAAAAAATGGAAAAATTCCTTAGCAAGGTGCAAGTTGTTGTGTGCATTTTTCTCTTTTCTTCACCTACCCTGATTTATTTGTCAAATTTGGATCTGATACACTTATTAAGAAAACAAAAATTGACATGATCACTATTTTAGCATATTACCCCTATTTATTGATATTTAGTATTAAATCTTGAAAAATGATTTGAGGAATAAATAATTAATACTAAAGGTAAAACATGGGAAAAAATAATTATTTTTTCTTGATATGTGAGAAATGACTAGTAAAAGTGAGCTATCTAGGGAGTATGTTCTTTCCATTTCAATTTGTTTGTCATATTTTTACTTGACACAAAATTTAAGAAAATAAATATATATTTTTGAATCATGTGATCTTAAATATATTATGTCAAAAGTTAAAATTAAAGAATTGCTAATAAATAAAAGACACGTTATTTTTTAAACAAAAGTAGCACATACGAATTGAAACTAAGAGAGTACCTAATGCCTTAGACAACCTGTTCATATAATATATAATAATTATATATAAATTCAAACCAAAAATATTATAATAATTGATGAGTGAATGTCACATATTAAAAAGAAAAAAAAACTCAAATATGTTATCAAACTTTGAGAAAAAATTTATTTATGCCATCTGTTAAAAGTTTAGCTCATCTATGTTATTGTCGTTTGAGAAAAGGTTCATTCATGCCATTATTTATTAATTGAAATGGTATAGATGAGCCAAACATTTAACGGATGACATATATGAGCCTTTTCTCAAAGTTTGATGACATATTTGAGTTTTTTCCCTTTAAAAAAAATAATATAATTAATGACATGGCCGAATCATTATTGACCGTGCAAAAAAATGATTTTTCATAAATCATAATTGACCACATGTAAAAATAGTTTTGCAAAATGGAATTACTTTAAGTTAACAAATAATGTCATAAATGAGCCTTTTCTCAAACACGGATATGACATAGATGAGCCAAACTTTTAACGGAAATGACATAGATGAGCCAACTGCAGGTGTTGGTCTTCAGCTGTTTTCTTTAATTCTCCACTCCGAGAGTTTTGGACTTCTTTAGCCATCTCCTTGAAAGTGTCTTGAAGAAATTTTGCATACTCTATCCTCGCAATCAACCTCCTCTTTAATGCTTCCTATAAGTGAACCATTCCAAGAAAGTAAGTTGATGATCTTTGGAGGATAAACTCTTTTGCTTAAGTTGATGATCTTTGGAGGACCATAATTTTACAATATCATAAATACCAAATATTACCCTATTTATGGTCTGAATTTTTCATACTTCAAATTCCATATATGAAGGATTACCATAATCCAATACACAATAAACATATGATGGAATTTTTTTCCCCTATATAATAAAGATTATTGTATAACATCAGCTCGCGGAGAGGGAACATATGTCATTACTACTTTATTGTTATTGAGTTATTGGATTAACGGGGTTTTAATGATTTTATAGATAAAAAAATATTATCGGATTATCAGTTCGATTTTGATTTTTTTTTTAGTTTTGGATTATTGAGTAAACCGATAACCCGGTAAGAATGTAGTCATTTCCTCATTTACCTCTACATAAATATAGTAAATATTTATTTCAGTATATATATTTTAATGGTTACAAACTTTAATGTGTCCTTTAGCCTTCGATTCGTCCTAGTTCTTTTATTTGTATTGCACTTGTGTATGTAGTTCTTTTCATTTTCATGGTAATTAATACTGTTTCTATTTTAATTATGACCATTATGTAAAGTTACATTATTATATTGTTGCGCCAAATTATTGGAAAAGTCATATGTTTATTTTATGAGCATTTTCTTGTTGGTTAAACCGAATAGTTAAAAGATTAAAAATCGATAAACCGATAACCCATATCTTTCTTCTATATAAAGGAGAAGAGTGAAGTGCCACTATATATCTTAGCTTCTTCACTTGTTTGCTTAATCTCTCTTTTGCTATTTCACCACATCTATATACTCATGGCATTTCAAAAAGAAAACATGGAAGTTGAAATCATATCCACAAAATTCATAAAACCATCTTCACCAACTCCAAATCATCTCCAAAATTACAAGTTAGGTTTCTTTGATCAAACAACTGATGAGACACATTTACCTCTTGTTTTTTTTTATCCTCCTACCAACAACATTAATTTTTCAGCTCATGAAGAACAACTTGAGCAATCCTTATCTAGGATTTTAACTCATGTTTACCCTATTTCTGGCAGATTTACCGAGGATAACTCGATATCCTGCCAGGACCAAGGGGTTAAATTTATAAAAGCAAAAGTGAATAGTAAACTCAATAAATTTCTTGAGAAAGCACACAAGGATGTCAACCTTTCATTGCTTTGTTGGCCTCAAGATTCATGGAATGTAGATGCATCCAACTTATTCGCCATGCCAGTTGTCATTATCCAAATTACAGAATTCGAGTGTGGTGGCTTGGCTCTATCCATGAGCCACGCGCACATTGCAATGGATGGTTACTCAACTTTTACTGTTATCAACGAGTGGTCCAAAGTGTGTAGACTTGAGATTCCTGTAGAGAAGATTGATTTCATGAGCTTTAATTTGGTTGATGTTTTCCCATCGAGAGATTTATCGAAGCTTCTCTTGCCTCGTGTTCCTCTAGAAGATCGTGTGGAATCTAAATTAGTAGCCAAAAGACTATACATCAACGAAGATTCCATTTCAAGGCTAAGAAAAGAAGTCGGTGGAGACTTATGCTTTAAGCCATCAAGAGTTGAAATGATCATGGCCCTCCTATGGAGGGCTTTAATCCGTGCTTCAGAAAAGAAGCACGGATATCTAAGACGTTCTCTAATGAACATCCCAATAAACTTGCGCACTAGGTTAATTTCTTTACCTCAAGTAGAAAAATCTTTTGGAAATCTTGGAGTTGACGCCCCTTTAAAATTCATACCTGGGGAGAACAAGATGGAGTTGCACGAATTCGTGACATTAATTCATGACACTGTGAAGGATACTGTTATTACTTGTGACAAGACTTCACCGGAGGACATAGTGTCCGCGGTGTCAAAGATATATAATGAAAGTTTCCTAGCACAAGATTGGGGAGGAAGTGATGAAGTTGATAGGTACACAAGTTCAAGTTTGTGTAAATTTCCTATACAAGAAGCTGATTTTGGTTGGGGAAAACCATGTTTGATGCATTTTGGGGTCAAGACATGATCAGGTTTGCTGGTTGTATGATGCAGAATGTGGCAATGGGATTTGTGTGCAAGTGGATTTGAAGGAAGACTATATGCATCTATTTGAATGTGACAATGATATCAAGGATTTCTTTCAGTTTTAGAGTTTAGGTCTCTAAGATTTGGCAATTTTTATTTACTTTATTGTTGTTGTCGTCGTCGTCATTTTGGATTTGGTAATATAATAAAGTTGCATTTGTTATCTTGTTACAACTTAATTTGTTGGAGGGAGGGTATTAGTACTTTTACCCGATAATTTAATGCATGCAAGTTTCAATTTATAAGACTTCAATCATCACATCATCCGACTTTAGTAAGATCTCAAAGGTCTTTTTTCCAGTCTTGTAATGGAGCTGAACGTAAACGTATGATCAATTTGACTTAGTGCTGAAAAAACTTCATCAAGTGGATAATCTCTTGAAGCTGAAGTTGTGGATTTAATGAATTTTTCAAGTCTATTTTTGGTAGATTCATGATGGTGTGTTGTATCTTTATTAACTAATAGTTTTTGTCGAAGACGGTGATTTCACGGTGGTGGGAGAAAAATAGCAAACGAAACTATATCTATGGAGCGCAATTATTGGTTGAAACTATAGCTGTAGAGGCCTATTATGTTTGCTATTTCTAAAATTCTCTATTATAACTTATCGATAATTATCCTTGTTTTTCAAAATATAAGAATTTTTATTAGTTAATTTTGATTATTAATATTTTGTCAGAATATAAAATATTATTTAGTTTTATTAAACCATCATTTTTCGTTAATTACTTCTTTTTTTATATATGTATCATTAATTACATTTATTTTAGCGCAGTCTATTAATTCACTGAATCACAGATATTTAATTAGCCCATGATTTTGAACCTGTAGTTTCGTAGAATGAGTGATTTTAAATTTTCAAGGGTGATGGATAATTTTTTAGATTAAGGTTGAATAATTTTCAGATTTTTTATTTAACAAACGGTTTCACTATTCATCTTCTTCTCCGGCGAATAGCTCACCGGAGCTCCGATGAGCCACCCACCTCCTCTTAATCCAGACAGAACAGCCCCTTTAGGAACACCAATCACAACATTGCTGGAATTGAACAACCCCCTTTTTCATTGAATTAAATGATGCATCAGGATATATGCGGAATATAATAAAATATTACAATTTAGTTTTTCACACTACACCGATTGAGACATGTTTAATTTTCAAACATTTATCAATATGTGTCCACATCCTCAGTCTATTTTTTGGGGGTGGTTGGGGATGATTTGAGGGTAGGGACAAAATAAATTGTTTTTTTAAACAAAAAAATAATTGTAATTTGAATTTGGAAGAGAGTTTTGGAAAATGTTTTCCTTAAGTTTTGAAGAGAAGTCATTTTCCTTAAATTTGAGGAAAATGAGTTGATTTGGAAAATATTTTCCAAAACATTCAA